ATTTTTTTTTAATTTTTCTTTCTCTATGTTAGACTCTATATTCTGACACATTACACGCCAATACTCATTTCTTTGAAAATATTCTCATTGTTGCATGTTCTCATTCATGCACCGTGTAAAAAGTTTCAAATAAATAAATAATTTTATTGCAAAAATATAAAGAAATTAAGGAATAATTATTCGTTGGTCAATCTTCACTGTATTAAGAATAAATTATATTTATATACTCAACAATAAACAGAACACACAAGAAATAAATTAAAAGAAAGAGTTTCCAAAATTTATTTAATTACAAAAACTAAACAGAAAATGAAATAGAAAATGAGAAAATAAAATAAAATTAAGAACAGAAGATACTTACAAAAAATATTTTCTTAGAGTAATCAAGTCTAGTGTTTAACACTGTCTCCTTAAAACAAATTCGTCCTCTCTAGGATGCTTACAGAATTTGGACATCTATCTCCCAAGATGAAATGATCTTCAACAAACAGTAGCAACACTACAAATTATTTGTTCAACGAACACACTTTGTGTTTATACACTTTCTCACAGAAAATTAAATGCAGCAAAATGTAGAGATTAATAATAGCAAAGAAGAACGAAATGTTTCTATGAAAATCCAAATGAGGGACTTGTCTATATATAGATATAAATGTGACTTTTCAGATTTGAATTGAACAGGTAGCAAACTTGTTTGAACAGGTATAATACCTGTTCGGTACAGATTGAACAGGTAAAGAACCTGTTGGGTTTGAAATTTGAACAGATACTGAATCTGTTTGGTTTAAATTCAAACAGATATAAACCTGTTTGGTGCAGGAAAAATCTGGACTTTATTTCAGAATTAATTTTGAAATTTAAATTCTAAAAAAGGTAAGAATTTTAATTTTAGAAAAAATAAAATTCAAAAAGTTTTTTGTCCAAAAAGATAAGCATTGGGCTGGACAAGCCCAATCCAGCTCGATCGACCGGACGGACGTCATGCGTGTGTTTGTTCTGGGTCTAATGGGTCTAGCCCACTTTGCTCATAACTTCTCCTCTACAAAACTTGAGTGACCTAAGCACCCCTTGGGGCCTACCCATGGTTCTAAACCTAAACTTTTTAAATCCACACAAAGTTTGCCCACCAAACCAATGTAGGACAAGTCTTAACTCAATCATTTATGAAAATTCTACCAAACATACCATGTTCATGGAGTCCATTTTGGCATCAATTTTTCATTCACCCGATAATGGTTTTAAGCAACCAAATATACTGCGTGAATCACAATGCGATATAGAATTCGTTACCACTTATGTAATAACCTTGATCTATGATTAACTACTGAACTGTGATTAAGGATGTTTAATAAGTAATTAAGATGAAATTTTGAATTAATTGGATGTGTGTTGCACTCTTTGGGTTTATATCTGTTCATGGTAGGAATATCTATTTATATGTCTGTTTTGTTCTGTAAATTGAAGACCTTATTGGCATTTGATCACAAAATTGAATTGATTTATGTGTTATTTGAAATTTTTAGAACATCATAATAGGTTTAATTGAAATTCGATACGAAACGAAATAATTAGAATAATAATGTCTAATTAATTAATTCCTTAATCAAGTCTATATAAGTCCAATAGTTGACTCAAGGATAGGAGATACACATTCATTTCCTCATCCTTGAGCCTAAAAAAACGTGTGAAGAGAGAGACCAAGAGAGAAAGTGCCTTGAGATCAACAAGAGAAAAAAGAATTACAAGCTAATTGTGGAGAAATTGAAGGAACCAAGCTAGATTTGCTAAGATTCATAGGAATTGAGAACTTTCGGTGAGATTTTTACTCCTTAAGCTTCCATTTGACTCACCCATGCAAGAATTCAAGAGAATTTAGTTGCATAATGTAGAGATTGAGCTAGAATGGATGAACTTGGGCCATAACATGCATGCACGCACATTTTCTTATATATTGAGGTTTATTATGAGGAATCTTACATACATGTACAACCTTTACTTTAATTTTGAGAATCCATCTTGTTTTGCATCTTTTTATACCAAATGATCATGTTTTGGAAGCTTTGGAGCCAACCCATTTCATGCATGTTATGTTTTCAAAGAAGTGAGTTTTGTTTTGCACAATTGGCAAGCTTTTGGGCATTGATTTTGCGAAATGATTTTGAATTCCCAATGTTTTACAAGTTTACATATGTTTCCTCAAGTTTTAGGCCCAAAAGGATGTGAATTGTAGCTTTGAAATCGAATTTTGGACTTTGGAGTACAATTTGGAAATTCTAGAATTCGAACTATCCGCTCGAGCGACGGATCTTGCGCTCGAGCGACCACCTTTGTTTTGCACCCCCGCTCGAGCGACCAAAAGTTGGCTCGAGCGTAAATTGCATGCTCCCAGAAGTTTACATGTTTTGCAGACTGCTTGAACGACAAAAGTTGCGCTCGAGCGAAGACTTCAGTCTCACGCTCGAGCGACCATCGAGGATTCGTTGAGTGGAAAAATCAAGCAACCAGTACTTTTGCAAAATTTACAGACCGTTCGAGTGAGGGAAGTTGCGCTCGAGCGATCACTCACATGTTTGGACGTCTGCTCGAGCGAAGGAAGTTGCGCTCAAGCGACACCCTTGTTTTCAACATATTTGACTAAGTGCTTACAAAGGTATTTTTACATCCTCATTGCATCCTAGGCATCCCTAGGCTAAGATTAAGTCACAATAATGATGATAAGACTTAGAAACACACTAAGAATAAAACATAATGAGCTATGTAACTTTCGAATGTGTGTTTCAATACGTATCTGCTATGTGTTTGTATAGGTCACGCGCCATAAGTTGTTTGAACTGTTTGTCTGTCTGCCTTTGGAGCTATCTGTGAGTAATAACTCTGTAAAGTTATGGCCCCGTTTGGTAGAGCTGTGGGAAAGTGATTATAACTTATAACCTAACAGCTTATGGCTTATAACTGTGAATATAAACTGATTTTTGACTTATAAATTAAGCTTCTCATCCCCCACTCAAAGAATAAGTTGATTTTTGACTTACAAAAAGCTATAAGCTATATTGTTAAGCTAAACCAAACACATCAAAATAGCTTAAATTAAGCTAAAAGCTGAAATAAGCTCTACCAAACAAGGCTTATGTTTGACTTTAATTATTTTCTGATGATTTGAAATGATCAATTTTCTGAAATGCTATGTTTTATATGAATGAATGATTATCTAAGTTTTTGAAATGTATTCGTGGCAACCTTAGCATCATATGATATGCGTTCTTTTACGGGTCATCGGAGTGCCTTTATGGCCGTCCCTTTATGGGTCATCGGAATGCTTTTATGGTCGTTTCTTTATAGGTCATCGGAAATATCTCTGTGCACATGAGTCCTCAGAATGCTTTTATAGCCGTCTCTTTACTGGTCATCGGAATACCTTACGGCTGTCCCTTCATGGGTCATCGGATTTGTTAACACTAAGGGATGTACCACGCACTACCATGTGAGATGTAGGAACTTTGGGGATGAATATGATTATGTATATGAATCTGTTTCTACTTTGGTATCTGATGTACAAAGCTCTGTTTCTATATAGACATCAATCAGTAAAACCCTTTATTTTGCTATTATTCACTAGCATTCCGCTCACTATTTATATTATCTATGTAGGTGAGCAGGCGCGAGACTAGGCCTAAGTTGCTGCCTAAAGAGTTTTGGGTTGTCAACCACCCTTTTGAGCCTTCCGAAGAGGTTCCCTTTGAGATCCGATCGAGTTTTTGAGAAACAAGTTTTTGGGACTTTTGTACCTTCTTTATGTTTATGTTTATGTTTATGTTTAGTCGGCTAATGTTTTGGATAATTTCTGTATATATGGTTTTGGTGACGTATGACTAATGTTTATATGTAACATCACTCTTGTGCGTCGAAGTTTAAATTATCTGTCTTATGTACGTCTGCACAGCTCTATGAACTATGTATATTTCAATATTTGCTTTCACAACCTCTAATTATATGATATTCTGTTCAGAGGCCTTTGTTAATCCAAGGGTTACTGACGTTAAGCCTATAGGGGCATGTTTGGGTCGTGACAACTTAGATCGGCCAACTTTGACGTATGGGCTCCACCTAAAAATTGGACCAAAATTTAGAAAAAATCTGTTTTTTTCCAAACCAATTTTCAAACCATTTCTTACAATATTTAGTAGCAAATTTTTTTACTAGTGGCATCACACACGTAATAATTTTTTTAAATTAAAATTGAGATATAACGGCAGATGAATATAAATCTCTTCAATTTTTCTCCCTTTTTTTTTTGGGTGAATTTTTCTCCCTTTATTCAACATAAGACTCTCTGTAGTCTCAATCACACTACCAATCTGAGAATATTTTCATTGATGCATATTCTCATTCATGCACCATCACCACAAAGTTTTTAAAAATAAATAAATAATTTTATATTAAAATATATGGAATATCGTTGTCCTATGCGGCCCACAAGGCTGGCTGTTATTAACAATTCAAATGCTATTTGTTGTGATTTGTTTTAGTTTCTCTCCAAATAAAATTAATTAAAAAAATTTGAGTACTTACCTACAAAATTGTATACGTATTGCCTGTTGTCATCATCACATGTTCTTTTGTCTTCATCTCCTCTGCATTTTCTAGTATTCTTACCCGAATGATTTACGAACAGAATTTTTATTCATAAAAATAATATGTTAGTAATATTTTTGAAAGTATAATTATTCATGATAGATGTTTTAATTTAAAATAAAAAAATAATATTATTCTGTATAAAAATTCTGATCGGTACCTTCCAATTTTTATTTTTTTTAAACAGCAATGCTACATCCCACTAAAAGTGATGCTCTAAAGCACCACTAATGAGTTGACACTCACTTTTTTAAATAAAAAAAATAAAAAAAGGCACAAAAATATTGTAACAGTGGATCCACATCATTAGTGGTAGCACTAATTAGTGCTCTCACTCATTTTTTTTTTTTTTTTAAATACCTCCAACACAGGCCTTATTAGTAACTAATATAGGAGAGGAGAGAGAGAGAGAGAGAGAGAGAGATTTATGATGGAAGTGGTTGAAGAGGTTGTGATTGTTGGAGCTGGGATCGGTGGCCTCGCAACATCCTTGGGACTTCACAGGTGATAAATAAAAAGCTATGCTTGCTTTAGTTGTTTCTTTTGGTTTTTTTGGGTCAGTCACATCCGTACAAGTAGTAATTTTTACTTATGATTAATTTAATTTTCATAATTTTAATTATATAAATTTTATTTTTGAAATTTTCATATTCTATTAATTTAATTCAATTACAAAATCAATAAATAAAATAATCTCTTCAGTCTTTTTGAGATTCACTTTAAATTAGAAATAAATGATTTATTTGCTTTTATATGGATTATTTTCTACTCAATTTAATTAATGCTATTAATTGACATAGAACTAATACAATTGAGTGGTGTTTTGGAAATAAGTTAAAAAAACTAGCCTTTTGACATTTTAACTTTTCTATACAAAAAGTCACAAAAAAATTAATTTTTTTTATAAAAAAAAGTCACAAAAAATTTAAAAAGTCAAAAAAATAGTTTTTAACCAACTTTTTAAAGTACTCTGTTGTGACTAAGAGCAGAATTACATGGAACATAACTATAATTTGTCCTTTTTTTTTTTTTCAAAAATGAAAATAATAAAAAATTCGAGAAACACCCACAATTTTCATTACTATGATTTTTTATTTTTGGAATTTCTTAAAAAGTGTGATATTTACAGATTGGGAATAAGGAGCTTGGTATTGGAGTCATCGGCGAGTTTGAGAGCAACAGGGTTTGCATTTACGACATGGGCCAACGCTTGGAGGGCTTTGGATGCTCTCGGCATCGGCGACTCCCTCCGCCAACACCACCACCAGATGCTCGGGTCTTTTTTCTCTCTTCGTCCTACTCTCTCACCTTTGCCTTTGAATTTTGAAATTTTTATTTTGATTTTGATTTAATGATCGAGAAATGGGCTTAGACAAATCCATTGAACCCACCCCAGACTTGTAAGTTCGAGATTGCTACCTCCTAGTGCTCAAAAGCTATCTCCAATCTAATCTTTTAGCCAATTATTCATCAAATCAATGGAGTCATATTTTTTTTAGGAACAATTATAAAAAAAAATATATATATATATCAGATTGGAGTCATTTAACAAAATAAATATGAGTTTTAAATTTTGTTAATTTAAATTCTAATCTTTATATATATTTTTAATTTAAATTATTTGCTTATTTCCGTTAATAGAAAAAAAAAACAGATTAAATTTTTTGAATTTAAATTGATAAAGTTAAAATTTTATTTTATTATATCGATCAAATTTGAAATATTTTTTAAGAACCTGATATTTATTAAGATTTTATAAAATAATTTTGTCTGATTCAAAAAAATTTCGGCCCCCAACACAGAGAAATTTTAATTTTCACAAGAAAATTTCTCTAATATAATCACAGAAAAATTTCGAGACAACTTAACTAATAAAAACAATTCTTGGACCTCTCTTACTTCCCAAATTGGAGACTGGATGTTTTACTAATTTTCTCAATTAAATTTAGTTTTTTTTAAATCAAATTGAGAAGTGATCAAATATTTAATGAATTTGATAAATTTTTTAAAAATATTGGTGATAGATTTTTTTTCATCAAATTTTATGAAATAGGAAATGGGAAATTTGGGGGAGTAACCACCTGCTGCTACTCTCCCTTCTCTCTCTTCATCCAACTCACCCTTTGCCTTTTCCACTATCTCCTTCTGAATTTTTTGATCTTGATTTTAATGATGGAGAACTCGGCTTAGACAAATCCTTTGAACCCATAAGTTTGAGATTGGGCATCTCCAATCCTTGGTCCTTTCTTTTATCAAATTTAAATTCGATGAAAAAGTATTCAAAAATCATTTCAAATTCTTTCATCAAATATTTTTTTTTATCCCTACCCTAGCATTGCTCAATCAAAGGAGAGTATTTTTTTTTATCAAATTGAAAAGTCATCAAATCCTTGGTCAAATTTGAATTTGATAAAAATTTAAGAGGAAATGAGAGATTTTTTTTTCTCATCAAATTTGATGAAATGGGAAATTTGGGATAAGAGAGGAAATTATAAAAATTTGATGAAAAGATTGGAGTAGTTTAGTATCAAGTCAAACTTTTTACTCAAATCTAGAATCAAATTAGATGAAAAAATTGGAAATTTGAGATTTGTTCAGCTATTACTTAAATAAATTTTAAAAAATGAATTATGCGAGAGAGGAGTGTTTTGGGTTATACTTTCTGATCATATTTTAACTTATAATAAAGTTTAACTAAATACATTGTTTTTGTTGTCTTTGTTAGCCCTTGGTAAAGTTTTCTGCTCACAGCAAACACTAAACAAGATTTAATTGTTTTTGTTCTCTTAGTTAGCCCTTGGTCAAGTGTTTTTGTTAGTGAGTGGCTGGGGGGGAGAGTTGTCAGGGTTGTTGGAGGCAGAAGAGTTGTCTCAGGTGAATAAACAATTAAAACTGTTTTTAAAATAGGAGAAAGTACTACAGTATATTTTAATTTTGTAATTTTAAAAACTATCGTTATTTGTTGGCAACAAAAATATAGTTATAAATTTTGAGTTTATCACATTTTATTAGGGTAATGGGTGAATGATTTGGTTCACCCATTACTCCTTTTTATTTGATATTTGTTCAGCTATTACTTTTGACCATGTTTATTGGCAATTGAACCGAGTATTGTGTTTAGGTGATATTATTATTTGTAATATGATTTTCTCTATCTTTCCACAATGTTGCTTTTAATGAATGTTTATCAATTATGTGTGTTTTTTGGTTTTTATATATTGATTACAGAATAGTGGCTGCATCCTCAAGCACAAAACTTGCTATGGCAGAAACGTCATTTAAGACCGAAGAGGCAAAGTAAGTGTTACATGGTGAAGATTATTATATACACATATCTGCATACCATAGTGATTGTTTTGAATTTCAGAAGGGTGAAGATCATGATGCATTTCCTATGATCCATTGTAAATATAAGTAATAAAATTATTTTGTAACAGTTTAAGTATTTAAATAAGATAGTGACTTACAAATTTCACAGTTTTAAAGCAGGTAATACATATCTCATCACTTACCATATATATATATACATATATATTTATGTATGTCAGATGTCAGGGTCTTCCATTTGGCAATCTTAATCCCTTGACTTCTTAGTGAGCGGTAAAGGTTCTGATTAATTGAGTTATCCCCAATCAATTAATATTTGTAATATTTGCTTGCATTTGACCTACTTATAAAAGAGAGTCTAGCCAAACATAAAAAAGGTTGTTAAAAATATAAATATTGAAATTCTCTCCCTTCCTAATAAATTTACTTTTACATGAGATGTTGTTTAACCATTTAACATGATGTGCAGTGGAGGCCATGAAGTTCGATGCATGAAAAGGAAGATGTTACTAGAAACCCTTGAAAAGGAGCTTCCACATGGCACCATCAGGTACTCCGCCAAAGTAATTTCAGTAGAGGATTCAGGCTACTTCAAGCTGGTCCATATTGCTGATGGGTCTGTCATCAAAACCAAGGTGCTGATTGGGTGTGATGGAGTGAATTCGGTGGTGGCAAAATGGTTGGGCTTCAAGAAGCCAGCTTTTGTGGGCCGATCTGCCATTAGGGCCCAAGCAATCTACAAAGGCAATCATGGGTTTGAGCCCAAATTCTATCAATTCTCTGGAAATGGTGTGAGATCTGGTTTCCTCCCTAGTGATGATGACGTTGTGTATTGGTTTTTAACCTTCACTCCCTCATCCAAAGGTGAGAATTCCTTCATCCCATACTAGGTTTCTTTGAACATGAAAGCAGAAAATATGTTGCATGCTCTTGGGATATTATCCTAACAATTCGTCTAAGGAACTATAAATTTATGTGGGCCCTAATTAGGAGCCAAAAATTCATGTGAACCTTGTGTCTCAGGTTAACGCTGAACATTCATGTGGAGTCTTCTGTGAGACTCACATGAAGACTTTGCATGAATTTGCAGTCCCTGAGGCTATTAGGATAATGCACCAAACTGAATTGTTTTCCTTTGTACAAGCTAGTTAATAATCTTATATTAGGCTATAATACCAAAAAAATATGTGATAGATTTAGATTACAAAATGATATGACAGATTTGTGTCTTAACATTACGAATAAAAATGCTATTACACAAGAGATTATTCAGTGCTCCTGAAGCATGGTTAGTGATACTCAAAAGTGAATGCGACTAATGAATTTAGTCCAATAACGTAGGGTTGTGACATGGTTCTATTGGTATGAAGCAATGCTTTTGTAGCTTACAATTTTTAGAATGTAATTGTTACATTGTCTAGTTAAATATTGCATATGAAAACTATGTAAGGTTAGAATTTCCTTAACGTTTTATTGGCATGTTTCCATAAAATGTGGTATACTCATTATTGTTTGTCATTGAACTTGTTGTGGACTTCATTGAATGATATAGATAAAGAGGTAGAGGAGAACCCTGCTAAGATGAAGGAATTTGTATTGAGCAAGCTTGGCAAAGTACCTGACCAAGTAAAGACCACTGTAGAGATGACTGAACTGAATAATATTATGTGCTCTTCATTAAGACTTAGACATCCATGGGAGCTACTATGGGGAAATATAAGCAAGGGCAATGTCTGTGTCCTCGGCGATGCATTCCATCCAATGACACCGGACCTTGGCCAAGGCGGGTGCGCAGCATTAGAAGATGGTGTTACTTTGGCAAGGTGTCTAGCCAAAGCCTTATTGGAAAAACCTAATGTTGAACCAAATGAGAATACTGAAAAGGAAGAGTATAAGAGGATTGAGATGGGATTGAAGAAGTTTGCCAAAGAGAGGAGGTGGAGAGGCTTTGACCTCATTACTACAGGTTATATGGTTGGTTTGATACAACAGAGTGATGGGGTTGTGATGAGCTTCTTGAGAGATAAAATGTTGGCTCCATTCTTGGCTAGTTTGTTGTTGAAGAAGGCCAAATTTGATTGTGGCAAACTGAGTGTTTAGGGCAATATTGTTCAAGCCAACTGCTAGGCCGAAGCCAACCACCTCAGTGGGCTTCAGCTAGATAGTTGGCTTTGAACATCATTTTTAGAGTTTGATGCAAGTACTTGTCCTCTTTTGAGTTTTCTGATATTAATATTTTCAGTATTAATGTGTTTTAGTCTCGTAAGAATTGTTTTTGTGACTAAAACAGTATTTTATGTGATGTGACGTCTAAATTTAAATTTTATCGTTGCATTATGAATTTCTTTGTTTCTCCATGTTTGGTTGAGTTTTCAAAGAAGCACTGGAATGATATTTAATCGGTTTATATAACAGTCACAGAATTTATTTACAATTATTGATAAATTATTGACATTAACTTGTCTACAAGTATTGAATTTTGACAGTTAAATTTGAAAGTGTAAAACGAAAAGTAAAATTTGAAATAAATTATGAGAGTTCATGGTATAATTTATCATTTTTTAATTCTTAATTTCTTACAGAGTTTATAAATTTAAAATTTGTTTGAAAACCTACTTTACACATTCTAAAGAAACATCTCTAAATCTATTTCTTTCTTTTTCATCATCCTCCCTCTTCTGCTGCTTCATCTATGGCACTTTCTGAAGGATGGTTCTTGGTTTTGACGAAGTTGGGCAATGGTGGTCATGACGGTCCAGCGGTCATGACGGTTCTCACAATGATGGTGGTCGTGGAGCTTGATGGTAGTGGTTGTGGAACTTGGTTGTGAAAATGGGTGAAGGAGGTGGATTTGGTGTTGAAAGGTGGTAATGATGATGGTGCTCACAGTGAGAGAGAGAGAGAGAGAGAGAGAGATACGAAGTAATACAAATGAAATGACTGAGTGTAAAATATCTAGGGGCATTTATGACTTTTTATTATTTTTGTTACGTCCGTCTGAAATTACAGTTTGATATTAAGTTTAGGAGGTTTAAGCGTTACAAATGAAGCCATGGGGAGGTTCTGTGTTTTTTGAGTAAACCACAGGGGTTTAAAGTGTAATTTACCTAATATTTTATGTGCGGTATACCATGTAACTGAATTAACCTCTTCTATTCATTGATATTCATTTGGTAAAAATAAGACTCGAAAAGTAAGTTTATACTAGATTTGGGGTTGGTTTGAAATGTTCTAAATAAGTACACTTTTTTACTTTTTATAAAAAGAAATGTGTAGAAAAGTAGAGAAAGTGGTTAGAAAGTAGAGAGGAGATCTTGATAGATATTGATTGATGTGACCCAAATAAGTATATGTAGATAAAAAAAGTACACTTTTTTAATTTACCTCAAACACCTACTAAGAGCAACTCCAAGGGAAGAGGTATATTGATCATGTTAGCTATTTTAGCTAATATTACCTAATATTCTCACTCAATGGGCTGGCTAAATGGCTTCTTATTTTCCCTCGTGCCTTCTCCGCTGGCTTCAATTGGAGAGTGATTGAAGGCTCTCCAAACACGTCTCTCTCGCGAAATCTATCTGCTTCTTCAGCACAAAATCGATCTTCTCCTTCAGCGTTGTCTGCAACTCCCTCCATCTGACCTTTTCCTAAGGTATGAATCATTCTATCTCTCTGTCTTCCCCTTATATGCAACTCATATACCCTTTCTCTCTCTCTATCTATCTTCAACTCTTCCCCTCTCATATCTGCGAAACCCAAAATTGAAACCCCTATCTTTGTTCACTCTATGCATGTTCTTTTCTTTGTTTTTCACATGTATGTATCTGAGATTGGTAGTCTTGTATGCTGTTGCTACAGTTGTTTAGATTCATGTATGTGAAAACATTGCTGATTTTAATTGGTTGAAATATTATTTTTTTGCTAAATTCAATTATCTTAAGATGCCAATTTGATGGGTTTTTGGGAAAGATCACGTTAGGTTTTTATTCTTGGCAATCCCAGTTGACAAAACTCCTTTTCAGTTGTATTTGTTTTCGCACTTTTTATTTCAGTGAGGCTATGAGTTTTTAGATGCGAATCCAACCCGAATTGTGCCTTGCAGAGAAGTTTGTGATGTTAATGCTTTCAAGATTACTACTTCGCTGATTATGATGGGGGTCGAGCTGCCCGGTCAGCTCGTGGGGTCAAGGGGCAGCGCCCCCGAAGCAAAATGCAAAAATGCATACAAAGTTGCCTCCCCGCTTGAGCGTCCATTCCCCCGCTTTCCCGCTCGAGCGGAGGTTGGTAAGTTCCAGAAGTATGCGTGTCTCCAAAAATACTGTGATCCGTGTTTTCACGCTCGAGTGTCCATTTCTCCGCTCAAGCGTACACCCTAGTGCGGAACACGTCATATAGAGTCCCCGCTCGAGCGTTAATTCCCACGCTCGAGCTGACCTCGCGTTTTCAGATTCTATAAATTCACAAGTTGCTCCAAATCTAGGATTACTTCTCCAGATCTTCTTTTTGGATATTAAGGTTTATTTTTAGAGATATTTTGCTAGTTTTCTAAAATGTTTTGATTGAGTATTCAACTCATGGTTTTAGAAGTTTACATCAAAGGATTGTTTGTTTAATTCTATACAAAAGAGAGAGTTGTTCTTCGGTGGATTCTGAAGAATACGAGCCTGAAGCTTTGGTGGATTCTAGAGTGGCTCATCGTCAAGACAATTCCGAGGTGAAGACGGGGTTGGAAGAGACACATAGAGGTTGGTTCAATTCGGGCGTGGATTCGCTAGGTAATTGAGAGTATACCTGTGTAATTCCTTTATGTCTTTTTAGTGGATTGTTTTGTGGCTTTTGTCCGTGGTTTTTTTATCACAATTGGAGGTGTCCAATTGTGATTTTTTCACGTAAAATCGTTGTGTCGGCTTGTCTTGATTGTTTGATTGTGATTGTTATATACTGCTTAAAATTGATACATAAATCACAAATCAACATCTAGGGGATTTCTAGATTTTTCAGATCAAATTGGGTTTGTTTCGCTTTTATCAGTTCTTTGATTTGCAGGTTATGTTTATGTGTTTTATTTGGGTTTTGAGAATAATTTCTATGAAATTTTGAGGTGGTGTTACCCTATTCCCTTGAATATAGATGATGTTTAGTTTATGAATTTTACTTTCAATGATCAGCAGTCAGGACATAGAGATAAAATTAGTTTATGAATCAGGACTTGCAAATCATTAGTCAGCGATTTGAATGTTTTTAGTTTATGAAATAGGTCAGACATAATATTATTAGTTTTTTGTTTTTTGTTTATGTCATATACTTTCAATGTTTATGTCCTGAATTTCATAAACTAATGTTGGCCATGTAACCTGCAAATCATTGGTCAGCGATTTCCTTGAATAAAATTTCTGTAACAATTGTCTAGTTGAAGAGGCTGTCCTGATTGTCTAGTTGAAAAGGCTGTCCTCATTGGTAAATTTTACTTTCAATGATCAATGTTAGTTTTTGATGTGTTCTTATTTTTTAGAATTTTCATCTTTTTAGAAATCCTAATGATCAGAAGGTTAATGAGTTGACTTCTTTGTTACTTTTACTTGATGGTGTTTCCTAGAGGACTATTGTGTTAATAAGAGAGTGAAGAGTATCCATTCTTTGGGTCTTTTTCTTGTAAATATTTCTTTGATAGAATCAATGATGATCCTAATGTACGACTTTTTAAGCCTCATAACAATTTTGGATGCATATGTGCCTCTTAAACTCAAAATTTCTGTTTGGTCTTTGGCTCATAATAAGATCAATAGTAACAATGAAAACATTCTGAACACGAGACGAACAATAAAGTTGAGGTAACAAATGATTTAAAAAAATCATCCCTGGTCCAAATGAACCTCCTAAAACAACTATTTCGCCCATTTCCTGAATGAAACAAATTGACTCATAGAATAAATCCAACAATTGAGAAATGCATTGCCAAGGAGCACATGAATTTTTCTAGTTAATCACTTTAGAATCCCACCTGTTGGCTTGAAGCCTGTACTAATTTTTAATGATAGAATACTAGTAAGAGTCTTGTTCCATGCAGTTGAGGGTTGGCTGTTGGTGTGGTTCCTGGGCTGTTTCATCTGGTGTGTATGGTCTGCTTTAATCTGAGGGTTGTTTTTGGGTCTGCTATAATCTGAGGGCTGTTTTTGATCTGTATGTGATGTGTTCTGGTTTGTAGTGGCTGTTGTTTTGGTGTTTTGGGTGGATTTTAGGTGATCTGGGATGATCTGGTACATTGGTGGTGAATGGTTACACTGGTGAATGGGTCTTATTAGCGTAAGGTTCCCCTGTTGTCTTTGTATCTGTTGTTACACCCTACTGCTGCTGGTTTTGTTAGCTTTGGTGTTTGTATGTTTTCTGTGTATTTGTTGGTACCACACTAACATAGACAAAATAGATACAATACTCTTCCCTCTTTCCTTTTTTTAAACATTTTGGATCATCTTTTTTATATTTTTTTAGATAGAACATTTCTGATCATGTTAAAATGCCTCACAGTTCAAAAAAAAACGTAAATAATTTTCAGGTGTGCAAGGTAGAAACAATCAAACTCGTACATGTGTATTCTTATGACAAATCAAGCCTGTGTTCCAATCAATGGAAATAAATTCAAAAAATCTGGAATAAAATAAAAATATCTAAGAGAAATGGATTGAAACTTTCAACTCCTAAGGCTTACTAGGAATATTTTTAATAATCTAGGTTTCAAGAGGGACACCCTCCTCAAAACACAATAATACATGCAAAAGAAGAAAAAAAAATAAAGAGAGTGCTTATACATACATTCCCACACCCATCTTAGTTTGTCCCAAGAGATTACATTCATGGCTCATGCATCCCGCATAACACTACAAAAGTACCCCCTAACCCCAAAACTGAGCAAAATCAGTGAGCCAAATTGGAGTGTCACTGAGGGGAAAAGGTTATTAACATCAAAATAGCAAACAGCTTCATGAACGCCACATGTATGTTCATCTTATGTTCGCTGCAGATCTAGATCCTGTGCCCAAATAACAATATCATTATTAGCAGCAGCAGCAGCAGAAACACAGATGCTTATTATTCATACCAAATTACTTTTATTCATGTTCACTTGAAACTCCAAAACTAACTCAAATACTCTATGGATTGAAAGCACATAATGAATTTTATCCTGTGCCCAGATAACAATATCATTATTAGCAGCAGCAGCAGCAGAAACACAGATGCTTATTATTCATACCAAATTACTTTTATTCATGTTCACTTGAAACTCCAAAACTAACTCAAATACTCTATGAATTGAAAGCACATAATGAATTTTATCCTTATCGTTAGACAAGAAAAATAATGTATGACTTGCAATCTGTAAATGAGAGACAGAAGCACTATCTCTAAACTGATTTTATGCTCTCTTTTTTTCTTTTCTTTTCTTTGATAATTTATCCATTGGTGAACTTCTTAGTCCCTTTAATGGCAATGTGACTCTAAAGCTGTCTCAAGCACAATTTATTATTATTTCTATGCATATACCATGTTGTTATCATTTCCCATGTAATGTTGGGTTCTCCTACACAATTTATTATTATATAAATTAAGAAAAGTTCAGAGACTGTTTTTCTTTTTCTTTTTTTTTTTTCTTTTTCCCCCACTTTTAGAGGTAGTTATAGAATACTCTCATAGCACTCATGTGGTATTAACAATTATACACCTTATAGATCGTCAAACATTAAAATGCACTAACAATTATATTTGTGCATCATTTTTATTATTATACAAACATAAAGGGGTGAATGATGATGATGATGAGGCTGTCAGCCAAGTGAATTTTGTTTGTGATAACACCCCATGCCAAATTCTGTTGGACCAATTTTTGTTATTACCAAGATTAGATTTAGTTCTCTTTGGAAGTTTGCATTTGTTGTTGCAGGCTTTGCTAATAAATTAATATTTCTATGTGTGTAGAGAATCATAAAACTGTTTTCTCTCTTTAGCAAAACCTTTTAGCTCTGCTAACATACGCTGAAAAAAAACCCAAAAATCAAATAGAGCTTGACAAATTCATTGCATGGTCGATTAAAAACAAAACACATTCACAAAATCAAGTATGAGAAGAACAGTCATTGTAAGGTGTCCTCAAGAAAATACTGATCAGATACATTAGCCTTTGGAATTTCATCAATCAAAAATTAAGCTAAGGTTTAGTTTTCTTGTGATGATAACATTCAACTAATCTACATTGAAGATCCCAAACAATGTGGGAATAAGCATGGAGTGTATATTAGTTTTATAATATATAGGCTTGATAGAATGTTAGCAGAATTAGAGCTACTGTTATATATCATTGGAGAGTTGGTTGCAGGCTTGAGATTCTAGCTTTAATTGTAGCAAAATTCTTCATTGGAAGCAAAATGTTAGCTCTTGTTATATATCATTGGAGAGTTGGTTGCAACTATCATTGAATCCTTTTACACTCAATTTTTACATGATCTCTATTTATTTATCTAAAATTATCATTGAATCATTTTCAACAAAACAACTTGTGTTTTAATTTACATGATCTCTATTTATTAATTAATTTGCTTCCAACTGGAAATCTTAGTCATTTCTGCAACTCAATATATGTTGCCATAATTTTCTTTACCTTGTCTATAGATGAATCAGCAACAAAATGGTGAATATTTCACCAACTTGATGAATGATGAGACTGACTATGAATTTATGGATAAACCTCTTGACCAAGGGGATCAGTCTTCCCCAATCTCTCCTCAAATAGAAACCATCAAGAAATCATAACGAGGTGGCAACTTCACTACAGAAGAAGACAGTATGCTCATATCGGCATGGCTTAACATTAGCTTAGATCTAGTGCAAGGGAATGAACAAAAATCAAAGGCATATCTCAATCAAAAATCATAACGGCATCAATGTACTAGAACGTTCTTCTATAATTTCTCTTCTTGTTGAAGGGCGTGCTTCCCAAGTTGATTACTCAATCAATGGAAATGACTATATAATAGGTATTATCTCGCTGATGGTATATATCCTCAATGGTCAACATTCGTTAAAACAATTCCATCTCCATGAGGCAATAAGTAAATAAATTTTGCTAAAGCTCAAGAGTCAGCAAGGAAAAATGTCGAACGAGCATTTGGAGTGCTCCTAGCATGTTTCGCAATTATGCGAGGACCTGCACGTTTTTGGAAAGTTGAAACCCTTAAAATTATTATGAAGGCATGTGTAATATTGCATAACATGATTGTTGAGGATGAGCCAAATGAACAAAATATAGACTGTAATTATGATGCAATCGATGAAAGTCTCCCTCCAGCAGTGTCACACGAGCGTACACCCGAACTTTATGAATTCATTCAAAATCATCATCGCATCAGAGATAGACAAAGTCATTTTAAACTCCAAGCAGACCTAGTTGACCATTTGTGGCATCTACATGGAGATTTGTAACAACTTGAATTAGAAATAGTTTATCTATTTTGAAGTTTATTCCTAACTTTGCTATTTATGATTTTTTTTTCTTATTTTATTCATTGACCTTTGTAAGGTTTTTGATTAGTTAATTTGTGTTCTTTTGATTCTTAATTTGATAAATTACAATTATTGAATAACTTCCGTTGTATTGTTATTTTTTTTAAAAAAAATCTTTATGGATTTCTCTTATTCTTACCCTCCCCTCCCCTTCAAAATAGTTCCACAAAATTCATATGTTGGTATAAATTCACATACTATAAATTTTATAAAAAAAAATTAAATATTACTTAAAATTATTTTTTATAATATTTTTAAAACTAATATTAAAAAATATTTTTTTAAAAAATATTATCGCAAATGTCACATTGGCAACCATATTAGCGTTTGGTGCGTATGTGGCATTCTATGAAAAAGACAATAATATATATAGAATTTTTGTTTTGAAAATTGGCTAAGTTAGTTTAAATGACTAGTTAAAATAAAGAATATGATTAGAACACATAATAGCTAAACTAATTAGGTAAAGTAAAGAATATTTTTTTTTTGTACTTTATCTAGTGCAAAATAAAAAGCGTGCTTAGAGTTGCTCTAAGCGGTCAATCATATCAACTTTCTAACTACACTTTTTATCACATGCATATCATCAACACGTGAAAAGAAAAAAAATCACGCGAATACTCATTATATAAAATACTCTTTTCTTGCACAAGTAAAATTATATTGGTTAAATTATACTAACTTCTCTTCAAGTTTTGAATTTCATAATTTTGTTATAATTATGAACTTCTATTTTATAGTAACCAAAATTGATATATACATATATATATTGTGTACAGACATAAAAATAAATAATAGTAAAATATATATTTTAATATAAAAAAAATGATAATAATATATTTTTTTTGGTCTTATATGTGACTACAGAAAGTGTTGTGTGATTGAAAATTTTAAGAAAATTTAAAATCAAATTTATGGGGGTTTATGAATTTTATTAAAACCTTAGGGAGTCTAATGTAATTTTTCCAATTCTATTTAAGTAAGCCATTGTTGGAAAAGGGCGAAAACCCTGTAATTCTAGGGTTTCTCTAATCACAATCAAAGAATCTCAGGTTCGATTCTCTCTCTCTCTCTCTCTCTCTCTCTCTCTCCAATTTCATACACATGTACATATCTATATATAGGCGATGAGTGTTCGTCTCATTTGTCCAATTTTTGACTTGCAGTGAAAGAAACTGATAGTGAAACCGTATCTTCTCTATCTCCGATCGGTCCTATCAACACGAAGAGTTCGATTATTTTTCTCTGTTAACTTGAGGTGAGTAGATCTGAAATTTGCATTCTTTATCATAAATTCGTGGTTTACATTCGTCTATTTTGGGATATTTTTTGTGGGTTTGTAGAGTTTATGCAAGATGACTCAAGATGTGGAGATGAAAGAGCAGCCAGCTCCCTCTAATTCTGTTACTTCAGTTGGTCCTTCTACTTTGCAGCGTAAGGAACATACATACATGCATATATAATATATATAAATTTTGGAATTTTGAGATATGGACATTGGAGGTTTTGTATAAATTTAGGAATTTTGAGATATGGGCATTGGGGGGTTTTTCAGATTTGAAGGAAATTGCATCTTTGATTGAGACTGGTGCATATGCCCGGGAGGTTCGTCGGATTGTGCGTGTTGTTCGCCTAACCATTGCTTTGAGGAAGAAGCTGAAGGCTTCTGTGCTATCTGCATTCTTAAATTATGCCCTTGTGTCAGGATCTGAGGTGCACAGTCGGTTGTCCTCTTATCTTCCCAAGGTAGTCTCTGAGTGGTGTGACTTTGGCTGCTTTTTATTGTTTCATGCTCTCGTGCTTTCTGTTTTATATGGTGTTTTTAGAATTAATTTTGGTTACATATAGAACTTTGTTTGACACATTGGGGCAAATTAGCTTGCATGGAATTAGTTAGTGATTGTATTATTTGAGCTTGTCTAGTTCTTATGAAGTAGTTATAAATGCAAATGCTTGTACGAGTGTTTTGCTCCCTCATGAAATATTGTAGTGAGATAACTTTCGTTAACATTTAGCAAAAACATTGGAACCAGGTAATTCTAGGGAGAACTAACTAAACTGTAAAGCACTTTCTTATGTGAAAGTTATAAATGCAAATGCTTGTACAAGTGTTTTGCTCCCTCATGAAATATTGTAGTGAGATAACTTTCTTTAACATTTAGCAAAAATATTGGAACCCGGTAATTCTAGGGAGAACTAACTAAATTGTGAAGCACTTTCTTATGTGAAACTTAAAACCATTTGTGTCAATGAGTTAGACTCAATGGACTATAGATATTGGAAGCATAAAAAAGAGTGAATAATGCATCTTTAGGTTCTGTTGAAAGAAGCTTTGACATCTGTCTTTCCTCTTTAGAAAAAATATGTAAAATGATTTTCAATTAGCATTAGACTCACTAATTAGGCTATTTGACAAACAGTGTAATCACATAGTCGGAATTGGAGTATTATATTGTCTGGATTTTGTTGGTTGCTTTATGATTTTAACATTTAGCCTATCAGTGTGATTTGGTCCTGGATAAAATCAAAATGGAATCTTGAAATTTTAGGGGATTTAACCATGCTAGTGGAATCTTTTACATATTTGGAGGGTTAAAATAATTTAGGCCTCGTTTGGCAAGAGGCTATTTTAACCAATTAGTTAAAAAGTTACTAAATTAGCCAAAAAGCCAACAATCCATACCAGAAAGTCAAAGATTCTCTTTTCTCTCTACTTTTTGCACATCTTTTCGTAATTAGCCAAAAAGTCATCCCAAACATACAAGTTTTTTTTACCTACCTTTTTAGCCAAATAGTCAAAAAGTTACTAAATTAGCCTGTTCCCAAACGAGGTCTTAATGGTGCTTGTTATATTTATTTTCGGTCTGTAGATATTCTTGTATCAGTTGAAAATATTATACCTAGGCTAGTAGGCTACCGTGGATCAACGATTGAAGATGTTTATTCCTTTTTTTTATATTTATATAGGATATGGGAATGTCAAGCTCAAAAGAACTGATCTAATGTAGAATCATAGACTGGGATTAGTTCATGGTAGATTCTCATCATATGATAGTTGGTATTGTAACATCCAGTTGCATGAGTTCCACTAAGATTCTTAGTAAAAATGTGAACCGTGGGAGTTGCATGCAGCTTGGAAAAAAAACGGACACTATTATTAGGGGGATCCATGTACATATGAAATTCTTGCTTTTTCCATGAGCAAGAAGTGGGAAAATTAAGTGCTCCTTTATTGAAATGGATGATAGCTTAAGCTTTCCCAATTTGCACCACACTCTTGAAAGTTAACGAAGATGGTCACATATTGAAGTTTCTGCCACTTTCATTATCAAAATCAGAAAATATTTTACGGACTTGCGGATTGAAATGCTTTTCCCACATGTTGAAAACACTCTTCGCCATTTAGCTCTGGACATAGCATCATCGTCTGTTAATGCTGGGTATTATAAGAATATTGGAAAAGCTAGCAAATTACACCAGTGGCTGTTTGCCTTCTTATCATGGCCATTACTTGTTAGTTGTTTCTCTCTAGTGTTGATCAGGTGTAGTAATGTTTGTATATGTAGTCAACTCCAGTTCACAGATTTTTATCTGAAAGCATTAAAGGAAGTATCCATTTGTCGATAAATTTGGAGAGTGGGTCTAAGCCTTGTGAATAAACCACATAGCAACAGGAATACTAGCTAACCCATGTTTACTTTTTTTTTTGTCTCTTACTTGATATATCTGCGTATACCTGTTTTTCTCCTTAATCCTAATTTTGAAAGTTTAAATACTGACCATAGGAGGATGAACAAGATATGGAAGTTGATACTGCAACATCTACAACTCAAGCTCCTGTTAAGCACCCCTTGCCTGAGCTTGAGATTTACTGCTACTTGCTTGTGCTAATATTTTTGATTGATCAGAAGCGATACAATGAGGTACAGTAATAATATTATACGTATATGCCTAGTGCTTGCATATTCTTTACTCAATAATGTTTTTGAATCACTTTAGTGCTTATTGCTGCTGTCCTCCAGGCTAAAGCATGTTCATCGGCAAGTATTGCCCGTCTGAAGAATTTGAATAGGCGAACCATTGATGTTCTAGCTGCCAGGCTCTACTTCTATTACTCTCTCAGCTATGAACTCACTGGTGATCTTGCTGAAATTCGTGGGTGAGTTATATATTGATATCTATTCCTAGCTCTTCTGTGAAATCATCTGCCGTTCTTATGTATGTCCTAGCCTCCTAGTGTAATGCACATTTACATGTTTTAATTTTTCAAAAAAAAAGGGGAAGAAGGAACAAGATTAGAGCTGAGTACTTTTCTGATTTTTTGATTTGCACTTTCTTTGTAACTGTCTTCTTTCTAGTCATTCTTTGTCTGATCTGATTTTCTTGCATTGACAGTAATCTCCTTTCTTTACACCGAATTGCTACATTACGCCACGACGAGTTGGGTCAGGTTTGTTTTAAAACATCTCCGCAATTAGTTAATATTGTAATAGTAGTGTCTCATCCTGATATAATGGCTTTTTGCAGGAAACACTTCTCAACCTTCTACTTCGAAATTACCTCCATTACAACTTGTTTGATCAGGCAGAGAAGCTGAGGTCAAAGGCACCCCGTTTTGAAGCTCACTCAAATCAGCAGGCAACTCTTATTCTCTTTCTTGTCCTTCTTAGACACCAATCTGTATGGGATATGGTTCATTTTTGCAAGGGATACTTTGTTGCATTATATATATACGACTGTCTTGATTGAAGATATATGATTCTGTACTTCAGAAAAGCACTTAGTGTATGGTTGATTTGAGGTTCTCATAATATGGACTGTGGTTCTTTAAGGATCAAAGTGGAAAATAGTAAAAATATTACAAAGTTGAAAGCCATGGAGAAACAGATGTAAATGAATGCCTGTGGGGGTGGGTGGAAAACAGTCTGGAAAAGTTGAAATTATGAATTTTGAGAAATGTCCATATGTAAGGGTTTAGGGTTTAGGGAAGCAAAAAGATATGAAATATTGCGTAGTTCCAAAAAATGTTGAAGGCAGATTAGTAAAACAAGCACCAACTTGTAAAAGTGCACTTGAATGTGAAACATGATGGCTGAGGCATCTGTGCTAGTTGGTAACAGGATTCCTTATCCACTAAGAATGTTGAATCTGTCATTTGGCCTTCTCTTTTTAACAACTCTGGTTCTTGACGAAAGCATTGTTGTGCTATTTTCGACATTCCCAAATAATTTTAAGTCATCAATCGACTATGCCTTTCACATAATTTATATATGAACTTTTAGTTCATTTTCTTTTTAAACATCTCGGATAAGGAAATATGGTTTGTATAGCCTTCTGTCCTCTGTAAGAGATCATGGCTGAACCTGACTTCCCTTGATGGTACCTCTTTTTTGTGTGGTTGTCAGTATTATTTATCACACCGGTTACTTGAAGGCCTCCCAATTTCTGCATATCAAAATGTTTTCTTTCTCTTGCAGTTTTGCCGGTATCTCTTTTATCTTGGAAAGATTAGGACGATACAGTTGGAGTATACAGATGCGAAAGAGTCACTCCTGCAAGCTGCTCGGAAGGGCCCCGCTGCAGCTCTTGGTTTTCGGGTGCAATGCAATAAGTGGGCTGTGATTGTCCGACTTCTGCTTGGAGAAATCCCTGAGAGGACTGTTTTTATGCAGAAGGGCATGGAGAAGGCTTTGAGGCCATACTTTGAGCTTACAAATGTGAGTCTCGATTTATTTTCCTTCAGGGTTAATTTTCCTAGGAACCAGATTTCAGAAGGAACACACACACACAACTATTGACTCCCTGGCTTTTGCTGATTAACATGATGTTGTGGGCTTCTTAGGCTGTTCGAATTGGAGATCTGGAGCTGTTTAAAGCTGTTGCTGAGAAGTTCTCTGGTACTTTCAGTTCCGACGGGACCCACAATTTGATTGTTAGGCTGCGGCATAATGTTATAAGGACCGGGTTACGCAACATCAGTATTTCTTATTCCCGTATCTCACTGGCTGATGTGGCCAAAAAGCTGAGGTTGGACTCTCCCAATCCCATTGCTGATGCTGAGAGTATTGTAGCCAAGGCGATCCGGGATGGTGCAATTGATGCCACACTGGATCATGCAAAAGGGTGGATGGTTTCGAAAGAAACTGGGGATATCTACTCTACAAATGAGCCTCAAATTGCTTTCAATTCGAGGATTGCTTTCTGTCTCAATATGCATAATGAAGCTGTCCGTGCACTTCGTTTCCCTCCGAATTCCCACAAGGAGAAGGAAAGTGCTGAGAAGAGGAGAGAGAGGCAACAGCAGGAGCAAGAGCTTGCGAAGCATATAGCTGAGGAGGATGATGATGAGTTTTGATAACTTTGCAACGTGTTCCCCTAGTGATGCCAGCAGCTTCCTTTCATATTCCTGAGCAAAGATGTTTGACTTGCAGCTTCTGCTTTCGTTTTTAAATTATGCAAACTGCCTCATGCTTTTGGTGTTAGTAATTACTGTTTTATTGTTTTTGGATTATGTTCTGGGGTGCTTTTCCTGGCCCTTTTTCTTCATTTTTTCTTTCTCCCAAGAAGCCCCCGGTTAAACTACGTTCTGTGGTGATTTACTCTCTTCTCTCATCAGTTTTATTAAACAATGACTTATTCTTGCTTCTGAATAGAAAATGAGCAGCACAACTGGATAAATCTTAGGTCTTAGGGGGGAAAGAGCTTGCACCGTTTTTAGTTTATTAATCTTCCAGCAATGTGGGCAAAATTTGTTCTGTTTTTTGTTTTCCCATTTGGGTAGTGATTTCTTCCAAAATTGACTTCAAGATCGAAAGTTTTTGTGATTTATGGATACCCTCTCCTGAAGAAATCAGTTTAGGGATATACTATTTTACTGAGAATTCATTATGAATAACCCAATTCATAAAAATACCTATGGTTTGTCTGTTGGACACTGCAAGTTTGACTTTGGAGATATGGGAAGGAAGAAAAAGTTTAGAAACACAGAAACAAGTCACAAAATCAAGCACAACCCTCTTATGTAAGGTGGGTCTAATACCTATGTGAGAAGGAACACAACATGCTTCTTGTCCAGTCTTTTTTTTGTATTGGGTGACAAATTGCTTCATTACGTATCAAGAGATACCAATTGCAACGTGCTCTTTTGCAAACCACAAACACACGACAAATAAAACTCTTCAAATCTCTTTAGATTGAAGGGATATTTGTAGCCTACTGCACCCCTCACAGAGGGACTCCTGCTGCACCCCTCACATTACATGAGTCTTCTCCTTCAACAATCAACCTCATTCTTGTCACTGACAAATTGAGCTTGCATGGATCACTTGTTATATAAAATAAATAAATAAATAAGTCGCAAAGAAGATGCACAGTGAATGTGAAGATAAGTTATTGACGAAAGAGAAGGCGCCACCTATGTTCCTGCTAAATTGTTGTCCATTGCAGAGGATTCTCACCAAGACCAAGAATTTTCACATTATTTCTGAATACAGAGTTATTTGGGCGGTACCAGACTTGCATTCATCAGATAACAGGCATCTAAACTACAATTTTCCACCAAAAAAATGACAAATGAAGATGTGACGTGAGAACCAGAAGAAAATTAATCATCTTATGAGGAAAAGAAAACAAATAGCACAGCAATCATTTTGTCTGATACAATTTAAATTTCAAGATCTTAAATTGGGTTGTCCCTGCTACAAATTCTGCTCAAATATATTCTTGAGACTCAAATTGTTTGAGCTAAATCAAGTCCAACACCAACGCAGGTTTAAAAAAAAAAAAAAACACTATAACATTTCCACTGAGGACAAGAAGGATGATTTAAAAATGTTAAGCCCTACACCAGCAGCATTAATTCACCCAGTTGAACTCAACCCAAACGACTTGACAATGTTACTGACCCTTTCAGCAAAAGTTCTGGAGGTTATCTTTTTACCCGGCACGTGAAATGGGTTTGAAACTGCATCCACATACGCTGAATGGAACCTCCTGAAAAACTGTTCAGTAGTTTGCATGGCAAGTTAGATGTCATGTTTCAAAGTCAATTGGAAATGAAAAGGGAAGGGGCAGGGGGAAGATAAAATAACATCTGCAAGAAAAAGCAAGCGCACCACTGTCCTGTGAATATATATATATATATAGAGAGAGAGAGAGAGAGAGAGAGAGAGAAATAACAACTTTTGATAAATCATGCTAAGGTGAAAATGATGGTAATAAACTCAACAATTAATTTGATATACACCAAGCCACCACATTGATTAGTTTGCATTTTTTAGTTGTCTTTGATTCCTCCTAAAGAGAATAGTTAACAATGCAATTGCGAAAAAACCCAATGTGTGAACAAATTGGTTTGCAGGCTGGACCATAATCTAGCAAGGTTATAAAATTGCAACCATCAATTTAGAAGTAGAACAGCTAAATTTCTTCTTGAAGCAAGAGGAATGGTTGTATTACTGTTGTAATTATATCAAGACATCTTCCCTATATTACAGTTCTTCTCCATGTTCTTCTTCTTCAAATGCATCCAGAGAAAAGAAAGATCTATGAGAGAAAAAAAGATCTTTTCCAGTAATGCAAACACTTTTACCCATCTTAAGCGTTAATAGTTTTCTTTCTTGCTTCCTTCCTTTTTTCTTTTCTTGCCTTCTTTCCCTGACTTTTTTAGGGCCATAGAAAGACTATAGATGAGCTAAGTGCTGCACTTACTGCAGGATAGCCAAGCTCACATTCACTACATCTAATTTACAGAATGAAATTTGTCAATTCAGTGGTATGATATCCATATAGTAGTTCTGTTTCTTCTACCATACATAGTGTTCATATATACACACACTGAATAGTTTCTAAAAGCAACAAAAGCTGAAACTTCAGATTTGAAGGGCAAGACTTACATTTCTCACATCTGCATCTCGGACATCAAGGTCTGTTGTCACCAAGATAAATTTCACCTTTGTGTTAGTCAAATAACCGTACCTGTAGATAGCAACTGTAAGAGATCTATAGCACATCATATGAACCAATGAACAAATAACTTGCCCACAGTCAGATTTTTTTTTTTCATTTGTGTTGAGTAGCCAACTAAATGATCTACAAAACCAGAAAATATACTTACACTTTGTAGTTTTCAGTTGGATAAAGCAAACCAAGAAATGTCTCGTTCAGTGTTGGCCCTGATTTTTTTGGATTGTTTACTGTAACAGAACGAAGCAGTCCTTTTGTAAGTCAAAATGGATACTGCCCTCATATTTTCAAATTCAAGTTAATCAACTGTAATTATATCATCTGAAATTTAAGAGACTAGCTTAGGAAATCATTAAACAAAGTGGTAAATAAAGCTAAAGAACCAAAGAATGGATCAGACAGAAACTGTAGGTTCTTTTTTTGATTGGCAGAAACTGTAAATTCTCTAATATATTGTGTTAATAGTTATGCAATAAATATTAAGTAAACCTCAAGATGGCAATGCAGACAGACAATACAAAACAAGAAGAGAAGAGAAAATGGGTCAACTGCACACGAGATCACCCCAAAACAATATCTTCAGCCAGGGAACTGCCAAAAAGGTGAAAAGGGACTAACACGACACTATGATACTTTTAGGAACTTGAAACATAGGAAATACTATGATTGACAGATTCCTTGTTTTGTTTACACATACAACACTAGTTCACACATAAACCTCAATTAAACCCTATTAAAACTTTGTAAATTATTATATAACACTCAAATAGAATAGAGTTGAACTTATCAAAATTACATGTTGTGTTTGTGCAATTTCACTTTCCCCATGCAACAGTGAAGCCATTCTTCTTTCACTTCTACTCCTAATCCTCAAAGACTGAAAGATACCCTTTCTCAGCCATAATTCCAAATCAATTCCTAACAATCCCTAACCCCTGCTCCAATCTCTTGCCTGCAATTTAACACTTGAAACCTTAACTTAGTGGCAGTCTGATGTTTCCGACATTATGACTTCTAAAAATCCAGCAGCATAAACTTTCAAAAACTAAGTAACAGCAGCCTCTTTTGATTCATGGACCCACTACCTTTCTTTTACACCTTTTAGAACCCTAAGCATACAAGCTTCCCTTGACCTAAACCCTTTACCCATAATCATAGGAAACACTTGTCTATGTTTCCTAAGTTCTGCTACATCGACTTAGAATAATATGTTGCTTCATTTATTGTTTTCATAAAAAAAATAATATAACTAAATCTATATCCTTTTGGCTACTCTCTCTCTTTCTCTGAGTGTGAGTGTAGGCAGCTATATCGGTTTGAATTAGAAGGAAAACACTTGGTGCTTTGCAACGGTGGGGAGGCTATCTCCTATAGGTGCTAATCTAATAATTGACTTTTGCTAATCAAAAAAAAAAAGGTTTGTTATTAGATTTTAATTTGAGTTCCCTTGGTCTTAGAACTAGAATCAAAGCCAATAGAGACATAAATGAATAATTAACACCCCTATTAAGATAGAATGATCCCATTTAACACCTTTCATTTCATTTCACAATAAAACTCTATCATCTTTGATGGAATTAGGGGTGAAAATGGCACCCATCTTAAAGATAGTCATAAAGAGCGTTTCAATTCTGTCATTCAAGTAAGAAAAAACAATCTAATCATCATGAATTGCTCCATTCAAGTGACAGATCTTCAATTTAAACACCACAGACAGTACACTAAACCCAACCACCCATCAAGCTAATCAAAACCCAGAAACCTCCTGATTCAAAGATTCAAACTAATGAAAAATTGAATATTTTAGATACCAACCCAACAACCATATACAGATCTTCAATTTAAACACCACTGATAGTGTACACTAAAGCCAATCACACATCAAGCTAATCAAAAGCCCAGAAACCTCCTGATTCGAAATTCAAAGTAATGAAAAATTGAATATTTTAGATACCAACCCAACAATCTTACATAGAAATTTAATATAAAATGATGTGCAGAGAGGAGAAACCTCTTTCATCGACGACATCAAGGGAGCAATGGACTATGTGATGAAGCTTTAGGGCATCATCGGCCTCCGTGAAGCTCTGTATGTAAAGAGGATTGTTCTGTTCGACTCGAATTGTGTTGATTTGTCAGATACATATAGAAATTTGAGATGAATGTATATATATATAGAGAGAGAGAGAGAGAGAGGTGGATGTATGAATGTAGACCTGGTGGCCGACGACGGCGACGCAGACGATCATCTTCTCCGGTGAACTCAGAACCGTTTGATCGTCACCACCGAGAGCAACGTCAATGGATGCGCTCTCTCCTGCACTTGTTTGTAGGAGATAACTACTGTATCGGTATCGGGTCTTTCCTCTTTATTTTTTATTTTTCAGAGTCTTGCCTCATTTCTTATTTCATTTTTAAATTCACTTTTACCCCTGTGATTTAAGCTATGTACGGATTATTCTCTCATTTTTAAATATAATCACATAATTCCTGTGTAATTGATGGAGTAATATGCATTATTAACATCGTGAATGATAGATTTAAAAAGACCAATTTGCTCTTGTATATATATATATTGAAACTTGCTTATCAGTTTCACTTCAAAAAGCCGTGCATCTAAGAAGAGAAAAGTGAAGAGAACTAAGGTTGTTCAATTGAACGATTCAATAAATTAGGGTTGTTCGATTGAACAGATTAGAGTTTCAATCGAACGAAATAGTATATAAATTTGAGAAAGTAAGGTTTTGATTGTTCGATTGTTACTGATTTGGAGATTTACGAAGCAAACGAAGCCCAAAAGTTCACGAAGAATAAATTGTAAGGTATTTTTTTTATCACTACTTTTTATTTTGTATTTCATTCGGTTCAATTTGCTAATATATATATATATATATGTATAGAAAATGTTAGTTGATGTACTTTTTGTTGTTGTATATTGTGGTCCCGTATGTTTTGTATATTAGGGTTTGTGTGCCTCCCTTTTTCATACCATTAGTAGTTAACTTTTTGTCATGGTACTGTGTGCGATGCAGTTGTTCATATCCTATTGCTATGGTGATTTTTCGTATATATAAAGTTCATATACTATGGTCCCCTATGGTTGTTTGTTTATTTGTAGTGAATGATGTGAGTGTATTACTTTGTTTGTTTATTGTCATTGTATTTTGTGTGGGATATGCATTGAAAAGGTGAAGTTTATTCCTAATCCTCAGTGTATTACTTTGTTTGTTTCATTTTTCAATTAACTTTTAACTTTATGCCTGAAGAATAGGTTTTTTAATTCTATTACTTTATGCTTTTATATTTTGTTTCTGTTTTATGTGATCTGTTTGAGGATTAGGGATTATTTATTATTTTAGTTTATGTTGGTTACATGCATGACTATATATTTGTTTAGGGTTGTGGATTGTGGTATCAAAATGTATTGATGAAAGTCTTTTCTACTTTAGGAGTGAATACTGAAAATGTCAGACAAATTCATAACTGTTCAAATGAATAATGGGGGCTATTTTGTCTTTCATCCACATGTTGTTTATGAGGGTGGTAGGGTGAATGAAATAATTAATTGTGACATTGACAAAATGTCTATGTTTGAGTTAAAAGACCTTTATTATGTCTTAGTTCGTGGAAAAAGAGCAAACATAGATATGTACTATACATAGCCTGGTTATAGTTTAGATGTTGGGTTGAAAACAATGTACAGTGATGCTGATGTGATGAAAATGCTTGAGACTTATAAGGGTTTGGATTATATAGTAGTTTATACAGAGAAGGGTATAGATCCTATTATGGTTTTGCCATCCAATGGTGAGTAGTTCTCAGATCCCAATGGTGCAAAACAAGGTGGTAATGCCATAGGTAGTGGTGACACAGAACAGGGAGGTAATGCCATAGGTGGTACTGACACAGACATTATTGATATAAACTTGTCTGATATTGACATCATAGTTGATGACATTGGAAATGACTCAGATGATAATGCAGAGGTAGCTGAGGGTGAGGATGTGGGTAAGGGATGTGAGGGTGGTGATACACAACATGAGGGTAATGATACACAACACGATGAGGGGTTGCAGTATACTACTGACACTGAGTCTGTAGAAGGTAATGAGGTTGATGAGAGTGACAGTGCACAGAGTGAGGCTGAATTTTTGGCTAATGAAGACAGAATTGATGTAGACACCCCATTTTTGACCATCCTCAAGACTTAGACATCATCATTTGAACACTCGATGATCTTGTATGCTCGTGTTCATTTTGGGTGCCCGAAGATCTTGGGCGAGCGCCTTGTCTTTGAGCCTCTAAACCTGTCTGTTTTGTGCTTGGTTGTGCACCAAGAGCTTGTTGTTTCAAATTTGGAGGAGAGGGTGACCTGTCGGCCAACTCCATAGCCTATCGGCCATGACTTATGCCTGTCGGCCATCAGTGATGGCCGGTCGGCTATGTTGATGGCCGGTCGGCCACCAGTGGTGACCGACGACCATTTTTTTTCTTTTTCAAATATTTATTTGCCAACTGTGCCAACTATTGTTCACTGAAGTGCATCTCCATACACGTGTATGGTAGGATGATTTCAAGCCTAAACCTTGGTTTTCTATATATAGAGGGTGCTCTCCCCCATTTGGAGGGGTTAGAAAATTTGGATCAAATTTCTCTCTAGAATTCTCTCTCCCTCTCTTCTTATTTTGTGCCTTAAACTCTAGTTTCTCTACACATTTGCACATAGAGCCTTAACCAAACACTCTCACCTTTGAGTTGAGGTTCTTTGGAGTTTAGTTTGAGCTCTTAAAGGAGGTTTGAGCTGGAATTAGAGGCTGTTTTGTGCTTGAGCTTCAAGAGGTAGTTCACTTGCTTAGTGTACTTGCTTTGACTATTCATTTTGCCATTTTTTTCTATTGTTTTTGAGCTGGTTTTCAACTACAAAAATCTCTAGTTTTTTAGGCTTAACATGATGGTTTGATGCATGTTCTAAGCCCACTTTGCGAAGTAGCAAATCATGTTTTAAGCCCACTATGTTTGGTGGCAAATCCGCATTTCTAAGCCCACTTGAGGGTGGCAAATTCAAACCATTTTCGAAAACAAACATGAGTTGAGTTGTTCCAATTCTTGCAATTCTAGTCTATACTTGCTTGTGTGCGTTACATAGTAAAACTAGTTTAATAACCAGAATAAGAACACATAAGATTTATAAAACATCATAGCATGATTAGTAGAGGCCGATCTTTGAGCGGGCGAGCAGGGGTGCTCATTTCAAGACCTTCTCATCTCGTACCCAAGTTCCCAAGCCGAGACAACTTTGGTGATGACGGACACGTGGCCTTTGGCACGAGTCAGGGTTTCCTAAATTTTTTCAAAATAAAATATTTAGGTGGCGACTCTGTATCTGGCAAAGCAGTCCAATTTTGGCATTATTTGATTTAAAATCAATTTTTCAAAAAGAGTTGTCAAATTTGGACACTTTGGTGATTATCGGTTTCACATTGCACTTGTGAGACTAGATTCAGAACCACGGGAGTCCGAACTGTGAGACCTTCTTTTCAAACCCTTTCCGAAAGGCGGGGGTGCCCTGAAAAAGGCAAGTCCACAACTGATAGTGATGATTATGAGGACTTGGACTATATAGTTAGTGAAGAATATAGTGATACTGAGACTTCTGAGGATGGTGTAGAGGAAAGTGATGACCAAAGTTGATTGTATGAAGACCTAGAGGGTCCAAATAATGACATTTTTTATGAAACCTCACACAGAAGAACTGAAGGACCACCACCTAAAGTTAATCTACCAGGTGACGTTGGTTGGTATTCAGATGTTGATGATGATGATGAATTGAATAGTCTTAAAGGGTCATCAGATGAGACTGATGATGCTGGATACCCAGAATACAAAGAATGTATGATGAAGAATCCCAAACTTATAGTTGGAATAAAATTTCCTAATCCCGAAGTTTTCAAAGAGTATTTGAGGAAGTTTAATGTGGTGCATGGTTATAATATAAGGTACATCAGAAATGAGAATGCTAGGATCACTGTTGTTTGTAGGCATGGCTGTACTTGGAGGATACACGCCTCTCCATTTGGGGGATCCCCAACCTTTCAGATCAAAACTTTAGAGGGGAAACACACATGTGGGAGGAATTACAACAACAAACAAGCCAACTCTAAGTACTTGGGGAAGAAGTTTGTGGATGAGGTAAGAGATGACCCTTCCATTAACATAGCCTTTTTCAAGAAAAAAAATTAGAAGAGAGATAATGATGGATGCAAGTAGGTTTCAAATATATAGGGCAAAGAGAAAGGCAAGGGAGATAATTTCAGGGGATTTGGTAGAGCAATATCACAGGATTAGGGATTATGCAGCTACAGTTGTTAGGAAAAATCCAACCTTACGCTTTTCAATAATAACTAATCCTGAAAAGACAGAGCCTACATTTGAAAGAATGTATTTCAGACTTGGTGCATAGAAAGATGGATTTCTAGTAGGGTGTAGACCAATAATAGGACTAGATGGTTGTCATTTGAAAGGAATTTTTGGAGGGCAGCTACTTAGTGCTATTGGCAGAGATGGAAATGATAACATGTATCCTATTGCAGTGGCTTTGGTTGAGATAAAATGTAAAGCCTTTTAGTCTTGGTTTCTTCAGGAATTGATGAGTAATATTGGGAGTGTTGAGGAGATGGGGTGGACATTTATATCAGATAAACAGAAGGGGTTGGCTGAAACATTTGCAGAGTTATACCCTACTGCAGATCACAGATACTGCTTGTGACATATGTATAGTAACTTCAAGACAAAATACAGTGGTTGTGTATTGAAAGACCTATTTTGCAAAGCTGCATCAACTGGAAATGTGCATGAATTCAATTATTGGATGAAAAAGATTGAAGAAGCTGATCCTAAGACTGGAAATAGGAAGACAGCTGTGGAGTGGTTGAGGGAGACTGACCCTGCTTTGTGGACAGGGTCATATTTTTCTCTAAGGAGCAAGTGTGACATCCTTGTGAACAATTTGAGTGAGTCATTCAATTCTTAAATTCTAGAATCTAGAGAGCTATCAATAATCTCCATGTTTGAATGGATCAGAAGGAAATTGATGCAAAAGATTCAAGTTAAAAAGGCTGGAATGGCAAAATATAGTGGTGAAATTTGTCCTAATATTCATGACAAACTTAAGAAGTTGAAAGTGGAATCAAGGAACTGTTTTGCAACTTGGTGTGGACAATTGAAATTTGAGGTTGATCATTTTCAGAGGAGGTACATAGTGGACCTAAGTTCTAGGACATGCAGTTACGGGAGATGGGATTTGTCTAGTTTGCCTTGTAGTCATGCCATCAGTGCAATTCAAGTCAATCATGAGCAGTCAGAAGCCTATGTGCATGAG